CCTTGCACAGAGAAGTGTAATTCCACATTCATAAATGTAACTCATGTTGTTGCTATTTCAGTGTGTATACTAGCTATATGACCTGCTTTTTCTTGAGGATCTGAATATTTGGTTTGACGAAAGAAAGGATATCAGCTTCACTAATGCTTTTTCTTTTTCTTTTATTTTACCCCAGATACATACAGCACATCATAATGACCCCGCTCCACTCCCCAGTACATCTTATTGCCCCCCACCCCCATTTCCCAGTCCTCATGGTGTGATTACAGTAGGTATTCTATTTGAATCCCCAAATGTAGTGTTCATTATATACTATGGTGAGCAACATCAGATTACACATGGCTTACAAAATTACTCAGGTTGCCAGATTTAGTTTGCATTAATAACAATCTAATAATATGATATTACATTATATTATATGGAACTCATTGTCTCGGCAATTTCAGTGACTACCAATTTATTCTCCTTATTCTTATTGCTAATAAAACACAATATCAGAAGGAAGAGTATTTTAACACACAGTTGAACTCGACCAGCTGATTAGTCTTGAACATAATCAACTACAGGTCTCGAGTAGTCCTCTTATAAAACGCACTGTTGTAGCCTTTGTGTGCATGTAATTGCAGGTATATTTACACACTGTACATCCAAGTCATTGAAAGGAGGCTAAGGTAGTCTTGGGGTTGGATACTCTTGATATTCATATTCTATTCACAGGGAGTGATGATATAGCTTCCAACCTTGTTTCAACTAGTAATATTGGTATGGCTGAAATTTTGAGAACTTCCTAAACTAAAAATAAACAGGTATGCAGTAAACAGTACTATTAATAAAAGTGATCAAGATTCAGACATAACCTAGAAATCTTTCTGGAGAAGAGAAAACTATACTTAAATGAATGATTAATGCAAAACACATTAATTATTAAAAAATGTAAAAAATAGAATTGTGAATCTTTACACATTTACCTCATTTGCTCTTTTGACACTGAAAATGGAATTTGGATTTCCCTAGAATTCAGGTTTTAGATCTTACTGGGAAAGAGGAGATGTGCATCTCTGCTAATTGTTGTAAGAGGGGGACAGAGAGTAGAGTAGTA